TAACATTTATAATCAAGTAATTTTAAATTTCAAGTAAAGTCTGCAAACGCTGACTAGTTCTTCATTTCAACCAATTCGCCAATATTTGTAAAAAGTGGAATTTTTTGCGCTTATTTGAATATTCCTTGTAAATTCTATGAATATGTTGGAATATTCTTGGAATGTTAATTTTGGATTTTAGGAACATTTTATAAATTTTTCAGGAATATCTAGCGTTTACTGGGATTAGTTTCACATTAGGATCTAATTAATGTCCATCGTGAAAAAATTGAGTAAATATTATGGTTTAACATTTGCCCAATATTGTCCAATGCTATTGGACTAATATTGCTGACCAATATTGGTTAAATAAGAAGCGATATCCATTTTACAATATTGAACCAATGTTGGGAAATCAGTTTATACTCAATATTTAACATTGGATTTACATAATTTTCCAATATTGCGTCAATATTTTATGCTACTAGGGTAGCATAGCGGCAGACTCGGATCGGTCTGTTTCGAACGAAGCGAGCGCGTCTCGTTTTGATTGATACAGCCGCTACCGCTGTTTTTTTGTTGTTGGTGACAAAATCGCTTTACTTAATCGATTGGCGGTTTGTTTATATGGAAATTTATGTGGCGCTAAATACCGTTTTTGCAGTCCAACGGGTATTCGGTTGCTAGTAAGGATGTTTTTAGTGCATCATTACAAACAAGAGCGCGCTACAGTTCAAGCGGCTCGAGCTCATCCTACCATTCAGCACATGCTTTATCTTTCATTTTTTATAATTAATATTTGGACTATTATTATGAAGATCGCAAACCGGTATGGACTTTTTATGTTCACCTCAATTCGTTCTATGTTCCCATGAACATTGCGGAGACAAGTCTGACACACCTGTACATATAGGGTGTTACAATCAAATGGAGAAATATATGGACAGTGAATTTTGCAGGTCAAACCGAATCGAAAATTCCTTTATTGTTTTCTTATTCGAGCTATAGTTATTGTGACACAATGAACTAAAAATGATATAATTATACAATTAGCGTTACGCGGTGAGCGGACATGTTCTAATTATCGCGATAATTATAATTCGAATGAAAAAATGAGTTTGTCGATTTGATTTGGCCTGCAGAATTCAGTGTCCTGACTTGAAGAAAACACTTCTCTACTTAATTATGATATCCTTATACAAGATGTCTGACTCGTACGGTATCAGAGTTAATATATAGCTAGAATAAGTCGAAATGAGTAATGGAATTGGTGCTTTTTTTTTAATCAATCACGTGAAATTTTGAGATATTAACGTGGAAAGATTTCTACTGAGCGGCAGCCCTGGCTAATCAGCACGTACACTGCGATTAAACGAACGCTATACGCGCTGTCGCATGGACATGAGAGGCTAGCCGGACCAGCCTCCTAGCAACGAGAAAAATAGCCGAAAAAGTAAAGTGCACGCTAGACGGAGGACGATCAGTGATGTGATTTCAAGCCCACGCACGCAAGCCTTTTTCTTCTTCCACTTACATTGAGCGCTATGTTGATCTATATAACGATGATCTTCACACAAATAGACAGAGCGTTCTATGTATGTAAGTGGAAGGAGAAAAATGCTTGCATACCCGGGCTCGAAATCGTATCACTGATCATCCTCCACCCAGCGCGGTTTATTCTTTTTCGACCATTTTCCTCGTTGCTAACAGGTTGGCTTGGCTAGTTTCTCATGCCTCAACGAGTATAATGTTTGTCTCATCGCAGCGTGTGTACTGATTGGCCAATAGGCTATCGCTTGGTAGAAATATTTTATTGTTAATATCTCAAAATTTCACGTCATTGTTTAAGAAAAAGCACCAATTCCATTACTTACCCTTATTCTAACTATATATTAGCTCTGGTACGATATAAGTCAGACACCCTATGTGTGTGTGTGTGTGTGTGTGTGTGTGTGTGTGTGTGTGTGTGTGTGTGTGTGTGTGTGTGTGTGTGTGT